ATCAAAAAAAGGTTGAGAAATGAAATCAGCTCCACTATGTTCTCTCTAGTGTTTCCGGCCCTAGGATGGATTTTTGTTTTAGACAAACTAATTTCCTTCTTGTTTTACCTTCACAACATCTTCTTGTATGGAAAGAGGTTTTATTCTTCTGAGTCCTTAGAAAGGTTCTTTAAAGAACATATAGCTCTCCTGGATTTCTTTGACTCAAAATACTTTGGTCATCTGGAACATTTTCAGTTACTTCCCTAAGCTTTACCATATTTTTCTTAAAATTGATTTTTTGATTTTGCCAATTCTTCCTTTTCTTCTCTGAATTCTATTTTCTGAACCCATATCACTTTGTCTCTATCAATTAACATTCGGTTAGATACACCAAATGTTAGACTTACAACCATATTTTAAAAGAACACCCATCCAATACCAGAAAATGATCCTAAATTCATTCCTCAAATTTGTGATGGTATGTTATACTCCTAAGTAGATAGTCTGGGGTTTTGTGTTTTATACCTGATATTGGAAAAGAGCTTAGACATTCTCTATCTTGTAATCATTAGGAAATTTTCAATATATTCCTGCCAAACCATGTATTTCAAACAAAGTTCTGAGATTACACTCTTGTCGCTCTGTGCTGGCCCTCGAGCAAGTGGGAGTCTGTTGCTGCGCTAGATGTCCACGGCGACGTTAGTTTCTCTTTCTTGCCCATCTTGACCCCACAGTCTCTTTTCTACTTTTACAGTCCAAGAATGACCAATATCTAGCAGGCCTCAGTCATAAAGTATTACAGTTATGCTTCATTTATTTTACCTCTTCCATTTTATTTTTCTACCCCTCACATGTATAGTGAGTCATATTCAGAGTGGGTCTTCTGCTTGTGCTAATTCTCTCTCTGAAGGCCACTTCTGGTTGTAGCCTCCACACTGTGCCATGCTGAGTTTTATTTTCAGTGAAAGTGGTCTGAAATCCTCCTTGCTCATTATCTCAACCTCTTCTCTGAGGTAGGTGTTCCTTCCCCTCAAGTACATTTTATTCTTAAAGAAGTACATTTGGACCATGACCCATCTAAACTACCAAACTACTCAAATATGGTTGACATGCTCAGTATATTTGCAACTTAATGAGGTTATATTACCATGGAAGCAATTTATTAACGAAACATAGCTATTTTACATGGTACCTAATGTCCAAGGCTTTGTTTAAGAATGATAGCTTTCCAGCAAATGTAATACCAATTAAACTAGTGGAGAAGCCTGGGTTGAACAAGTCTCAAGATAACAAAGAAGGTGCCACTAACAATTTGGGTGTCTTTCCTACTTACTGTAAGGATCTAAGAATATCCGATTTGTCTCTCATTCAGGAAATAGAAACCATCTGTGTATTATCCCAAGCAAAAATATAAAGAAATTTTTTAAAATCCCTGACATCAAAGAGTTTAAAGCCTTTCAAATGTATTACCTGGAAAAATAACAATTTTTTAAAAAAAATTTAAAAAGCGTTAGGAGTGGGCTGGATGCAGTGGCTCATGCCTGTAATCCCAGCACTTTTGGAGGCGTACGTGTTGTCTGAATTATAAGTGAACTGACAAGGATCTGGAGGGAAACAGGCAGGCTCATGAGGGAGGTAGCTTTTATGCTGAGCCTTGTAGGAGATGCAGAATTGCAGCTGTCGGAGACTTGGTCAAGGGTGAGGTGTGTGGTGGGGAGAGACTGGCATTGTCATGGTACCCTGAGTGATATACAAGGCTAAGAGATCAGGAGAGGCAGAAAACAGGAAAGTATGTTTGCCAAAAAATGCAAATTCTGATCCATTGACATATTGTTAGTAAAGTAAAAATAAAATAAAATAAAATAAAAGAGTAAGAACAAAGGAAAAACTACAGAATGTGAATACATGTTTCTGACTCAAGACAACAAAAAAGGATGTGATTCAAAAGTTAAAGATGCTAAGAATCAGACTACACGTTTGTATAATCATATAAAGAGTGAATCACTGATAGCAATGACTAATCACTACATGCATGTAAAATATACATAAAGTGAAATACAGCAGAAATTTCTACCAGTGCTACGATACACTGGTGTTAATCTTTACTGAGCACCTACTGGGTGACAGAAGCTGTCCTTTACATGTACTATTACAAGTAATCCGTACAGTGATCCAGCTAAGGAGGCTTTATTAACCCCATTATACAAGAGGAAACCAGGGTTCAAAGAAGTTGAATAATCTGAGCTCATTTGCACTCCTACTGCGCAGTAGAGTCCGAATTTGATAGCAGCTTTTTCTGGAGGCCATTCTCTTTACTCCATGCCAAACTAGAATGATTTATAGTTCAAAAGGAATCAAGTAGATTCAAGGATACCTCCATGGTTATGTAACCCTCATTAGTTGTAATATGCTTTCATGAGTGATCTGGAATTGGAGATACAGCCAACACTCCAGAAATGAAGTATAAAATCTTGGGAGTGTGTTACAGCCCATGAGACCATCATTGTCGTGTCAGTGATAATAGCTGATGGGCAGGAGTAAATTGTCCGTTAAGGTTAAGCTCTGGATCAGTCATTTAATAGAAATCAGTGGCAAGAACATGGGTTTTAGAAACAGATGGCCTTGATTCAGAATTGGAATTCTGTTATACGGAAAATGCTGGGCAGAAAACTTTACAATCTCTGTTTCCTCATATAGTCATTATGGTGAGTTAACAAAAAATTTATATAGAAAAAATAAGCGGCTTTGAATAATTTTTTTAAAAAGTATATCATTAAGACTAAGGAGGCTTGACTTCATTCAGGCACTAACTTAGCTGTATAGTCTTTGGCCAAGTCAGAAACTCTGAACTTCCTTTTTTGTAAAATGTAGATGGTACCATCTACCTTAGGGGTTCGTTGTAAGAACCTGAGATAATGTGTATTAGGTATCTAGCATGCAGCTACATTATGTTATAGAAATGTACCATATTAAATCATTAACACAATTCTTGGCAAAATATAGTTTCCACCTCATTTCATTTTAAACCTGGGCTTGCTCTATTATAATGTTATAGGTGACTATAACTTAATAATACTATAGACTATTAAAAATCATAACAAATTGGTAAAAATTGAACACCTGGGAGTTAAACATATTTCTAACTTTGTATTGTTTTTTAAAAGATAAACTTCATGGAAATAAAGTGCAGCATTTTCATTCATTTATCTTACAGCTCCGAATGCATTATTTTCACTAAAAGCATTCCCTTTTAAAAACACATTTCACTAAAGTGCTTAATCTGAGAAATAATAGATTAGTACTATTAATAAAGGCTTGATTTTATTAATAAGAAAATTGTTAAATATGCTTGGTATCTCTGATACAATTCTTAGGTTGATGAGTTCGGTCTGTGGCCAACCTATTAAGTGAACCATGGCAAATATCCATCTTTGCAAAACTGCCCTACATCCCCCTCAAAGGCAACAAACTGACCCGAAGACAGAATTTGTTAATCACTCCAGAGGAAAGCAAACCAATAGCCCTGGCCTTCCCTATTAAAGCGAGTCATAAGAAATACAAATATCCTAGACTAAAGCTGTATACATTTAATGTTTGTTTACACACTTAACACATTGTTTATGAATTGAGTAAGTTTTGTGCAGTTTAGATTATGTTTTGGGTTTTCAACAAATTATTTAAAAATAAACAGAATGTATAAATGTATAAAAATGATTGGCTCTCGCCAGAGAGATTTTGTAGCGTTGTGCTAACCAAGAGGACTACTCCACTTTTACTCCTTTTTCGTCTAAATGACATCTTAATGACCTGCCCACGCTGAAGCCTCATCCATGCTTTGGGAAACCACCACATACCTGTCGGGAAATGTGACTGTTGGTTAAGGCTACATTTCTCACACTACCGCGAAAGAAGTATGTGACTTAAATAGGGCCGTAATTTCCTTTACCTATTCCTTCCCTCAAAGGCTGCTTTAAATGGAGGTAATTCAAGCCTCCCCGTGCCAAACGCCGGCACTCCCACAAAGATGGATTGGTTCTTATTTTTTACTTTAAGGAGGATGGGAACCTGAAAATGTTTCCTAACGTTTGCTGAGGCTTTAACATGCTTAAGGAATTTGAAACCAAGGCAAGTTTGCCCGTAACACTCCGAAATATCCGCATTAGGATGCGGGCTAGGTGTCCGGCTATCGCAAAACTACGGAGAATGCAAGGTTTGGAAGAAACTGTTTGGACTTTGCTGTATACCGGGCAGGCGTGGGGGGTTGGGGAGGGAAGAACTGGCTGAGGGAGAAAAGAAAGGCATTCGCGTCCACAGAACACATCCTAACGCTCCTGAGTTGCTAACTCCATCGCTAATCATCTCGTTGGTGGAACCAGCTGGAAACGGAAAGATTAGCGAGCCTCGGCGTGGGATGAAGGCAGCGGTCTTGGCCTCAACCGCTGGCCTAGACACCTGGCTTCTGGGGCCCGCCCGATCGAGCTGAACCCCCTCCCCTTCAGTCCTGCAGGTGAGCACACGGTGCTGTCACGTTTCTTCGAGAAACCTTCCAATTCCTCTACCTCCCCAAAAGTGCTAACTTCAAGGGTTCGGAGGTGGCAGGGGGGTGGCAGACCGGAAAGGACAGGCCCCGGGGTCTCAGGGATTTTCGAGGTAGGAAAGAACGACGATCGCCCCAGCCACGGACGCATTTTCCCTCGCGGACCGCCCCCCGCCCCCGTGCCCAGTCTACACGACCTGCCGCGGCCGCGCGGCGCTGGGCGCCGGGCTGGGGTCCTCGCGCGGCCGCCGGGGCTAGCGTGGATTGGGTGGGGTACGGGTTGGCGGGCTTCTGAGCCGCAGTAGCGGATGGTTCCCGGCACCACACGCCGGGCGGGCAACCACATTCTGACTGACAGCCGGGGGGAGGCAGGGACGCGAGCGAGGCGGGGCGAGTCCTGGTGCGGCGCGCCCGGCAGACCGAGCGGGTGGCCCTCTGCGGGCTGCCCCTCTCCATCCCTCCGCGGATCCCCCGCCCTTACCTCCGGGCGCGAGGGTGTCGGCTGCAGAGGGTCCTAGGGAGCGGCGAGCTGCCTGGGGGTCGGGCTCAGCGGCTGCCAGCGACGGCGGGGTCTCTCGCGGGACCGCTGCTCATGGCTTGTAGCGCCAGAGCACTGCAGCCGCGGCCACGGCGGCGCCCTCCTCCTCGTTCTCTTCGCGGGCTTCCAGCCGGGACGCAGCTAACGCCCCAGCCCCGCAAGCCCTCCTCCCCTCCGCCTCCCCGGCCGCGGACGGAGCCGCCTCCAGCACCGCCCCGCGCGCAGCTGGGCCAGCGGCAGCCAGCGCCGCCCAGCGCCCGGCCCTGGGGTCGCTACCGCCAGCCGAGTCGACTCCGCGGTGCCAGCCCCGCTGTGACGCAGGCCGCGCTGCCCGGGAACTTCCTCCCCTGCAGAGACCACCCCGCGCCCAGGACCCGCCAGCGAGGGCTGCCGCCCGCCGCCGGGGGCTTTCTCCAGGACTGGGAGAGAAATCCTGTCTCCGCTTCGCGACGCGGCCACTCCCACCCCTGAGACGCCCACCTGGCGGGCTCTGCGTGGGGGGATTCGGCTGCGTCTAATACCACCTCCACCACTCATCCCTAACAATTCGCGGAAAACCACAGGCGGCTGTGCGCGCAGCGTCGGCTCAGCCACCGCAGCTCCTCCCCCGGGGTAAGTTAGAGGGGAGCAGCCACCACTAAAAATAGCCCTTCTGGGATACTCCTCCGAAGGCCGGGGTCAGGATGAAGATAACCCCTCCACAGGAGAAGCGAAGGCCTCCTAAAAGAAGGGTGGGGAGGGGACGGTGGGATACACTGAGGGAGATGGAGAAGGAGAAAAGCAAAACCCAATATCCTTGGATCACGAAGCTCTTGAGCCCCTTGACAACCATGTCTCCTTTCAGGCCGGAATCCCCAACTGCACCGCCCCTGCAAGACGGGCTAAGCGGCAGATTCCAGGGAGATTCAGTTGGAATGCCCCGCCTACAGCTCCCGCATAAAGGAGTTGGCGGTGCACAGCAAAACCACCTGTTATTTAGCGAGTATGGGGGGAAGGGTTCTCCCTCACTGATTGATCTGAACTGTGCTTTTCTTCTCCCCGTGTTCCTACCCAATTTCAGGATGAAAAAGCAAACTCTGACGTCTTGAAAGCTGGCAGCTCTCTGTATGGAAAATCTCTTCCCAGTGAAAAAATGTACAGACAAGATTACTAAGTAACACAGTCTTCTGGGAATGCCTTATCAATGCTAGCTATTTGAAGAGCACCCAAAGTCAAACTAGTGCTCCGCACTGGCAGTCTGGAAAAGACAGATGTATGTGAGTAGAGAAACTGATAGACAACTAGTCGCTGACCAGTTGGCCTGTTTTCATACTACAAGCCTTCAGAAAGCAGTCGCCTCCTTTTACTATGTTTCTATTTCTAAACCAAAATGAAAAGGGTATTTGTTCAAAAGATATTCTCTTGGGCTTTACATTGCTTTCCCCCTGCTCACTCAGCAAAATCCTACACTTTTTTTCCAATTCCAGTGCTGCTGTTGGGTGTCCTTTCCAGAAGACAATCTTAAATTCTCTTAGGCCTTAGGAGCTGAATCTAACACCAGTCTTAATTAACCTAGAACAAGACAAAAATTTAGGTCGGGGCTTACCTCCTAGTCAGCAGGTGGGAAAAATTCCTAGAGAGTCTCGGGGAAAAAGGCAAAGGCTAACTTTAGCAATTTGCTTAAAAACAAACAAACAAAAACATATTCAAGTACCTTGTAAGTCACCAGGGTAGATGCAGCAATACTCTCTAAGGTAGTTTTACCTCTTCAATTCTCTTACCTTACCTGAATTTAAACACAGTGAGGCTCTGACCTTACCTGAATTTAAACACAGAAGTACCAAGGTTACAACCCTCCTGTGGAGGGCCTTATTCTGCAAGGGCTCTCTAATACAGTTCTGGCTTTGTACCATTGGCACCTGACCACAAGCTTAGGCATCCCTGAAATGTTCCCTTGCTACCCAGTGTCAAGGAACCATTGAACCTTAGACTTTGTACTCAGGTGAACCAGGATTAAATCCCTGCTCTTCCAGTTTAAACTTAGGAAATTTACTGTTCTTTTTACCTGTCCCCTCCCCCCGACCCACATCCCCTTATCGTCAGTATAGGTATAGTAGTACAGGGTGCTGTGAGAATTAGCTAATATGCTCAAATCACCAAGAACAGTGCCAAGCACTTTGTAAGTAGTCAGTAAATGAGAGCTACTATTGTACTTACTACTCTTCATCGAAAGCAAAAGAACCAGGAATAGCAAAAAGGTTTGGAAACCTGGGATCTGAATCCCCTGCAAGTTGAGTCCACCCCAAGTTGCTTTATTGCAATACTTTTGGCTACTCTGTGTCTGCCTTCTAATTGGATCAACTGGGTAGTTTTTCACGTGTAGGCAGGTAATTCACATGCACGTTAATGCTTGAAAGCCACTAGTCTAAAAACTATGCTACACTGCTTAGTTCACTTTTTCTTATTTTGTAGCATGTAAACCTTAAATCTAGTCATCTCATCTCAGTCCATCTAATTCACATCAACATCCACACTTAGCAAGCTCTCTGTAAAGGACTGGGAGAATTAGCAATCAGTCAACTTGAGGGAGGGTCTTAAATAAGTACAAGGCTTATTCTCTGACTTCAGGGTGTTCATAGTTCATGGGAGAGGGAATCACGCATACACACAAACCAGAATAAACCATTTTGAAGTAAATGTGCTTAAAGTTCAGCACATCTCCAGAAAGGAGAGGGTACTGTGAGCTAGATGAACTGGGTACACAGTCTCTGTCTTGACCTTTCACTTTATACCCAATTCTTTAGGCTAAATTTTGACATTCTAATTGGACTTCCAGAGTGAGTAGTTCCAACACTAAAGACTCTACGTAATTACCAGATAACCATGTACAGGTTGGTGATAGGAGCAGAAGTAGATATTTCTGGGCGATGTGGGGCTGTGGTAAGGGATTTGGAATGAAATAGGTCTGGGCTTAACTCTTGTATTGCTAGCTGTGATCTTCAGTTTCCTCATCCGTCTATTGGAATATAGCTACCTTTTAGGGTTGTGGTGAGACTTAGAATATCTGTAACCCCTCTAGTGGGTTGTATGATAACAGCAATTATGTTATATTGTTGTTTAGTTGTTAGCTGTAAGAAAACTGAGGCTGGGTTGAGTTATTCCTTGAAGGCATAATTAATTAATTAATTAATTAATTCTGAGACAGAGTCTCACTCTATGTGAACTCCACTCACTGCAACCTTCACCTTCCAGGTTCAAGCAATTCTGCCTGCCTCATCCTCCTGAGTAGCTGGGATTAACAGGTACCCACCACCATGCCCAGCTAATTTTTTTTTTTTTTTTTTAGTAGGGATGGGTTTTCACCATGTTGGCCAGGCTGGTCTCAAACCCCTGACCTCAGGTGATCCACCCGCCTTGGCCTCCCAAAATGCTGGGATTATAGGCATGAGCCACCAGGCCCGGCCTGAAGGCATAATTTAAAAGTCACCTTCTCTATGAAGCCTCCACAGTTTCTAGGCAAGTGTAACCCTTCCTTGTGTGACCACAGCACTTACCATGGTATGCTTTCATTTGTCTCTTTACATGCTTCTTCACTACAGAGTCTGGGAGCCTCTCCAGGGCAGGGCTGTATCTTGATTCACTTTTATGTCTATTATTGACACCTGCACAGGACCTGATATTAAATATTGAAATAATGAGTTTTTAAATGTCTCAATTTCTTGCATTGGTTCTGACTTTCAATATAACTCTTACTATTCTACAGGCGCTAAAACCTGAACCCTTTAGCTCATAAATAATTCATACTAAATTTATGTATTATGTATATGTATCTGCTTAAACCCTGATGATGTCAATGCTGGGATTATTCTTTCAGACCAACCTGCTATTCTTGTTTTGTTTTACATTTGATTTCAGTTGATCCTGCCTGGTAAGAGTGCAAGTAAAATCTACATTCTAAACCAAAACCACCAGCAGGATTTTACGCTGCATTCTCTATCCATCCCGTGCCCATCTGCTCCCCAGACCATTTCTGAGCTTTGTGGGAAAAAACTGAGCTAAAAGAAAACGTTGTTGTTTTAAGTTCCAGCTGTTTACACTGTTGCAACCATTAGCACTTTCTGAATTAATACCTGCAAGATAAATGCTACCTTAAGCAATAGTTTTGAAATCCTTTACTCTATGCCATTAAAAATGCTAAGACAGGGAAAAATGAAACCTCCCCTAGAAAATGTCTTTTGCCCAAAAAGTTGCCTGAGAGGTAATGTTGTCAAATGTGGACTTTACCCCAAAATGGTAGTTGAATTTGTACCAGAGGAGAGGGTGGTCTATTGGGGCTAAAAATGATACCCCAAAGTGAAGGACTTAAAAGCAGCCTCAGAAGCAAAGTCTCTGTCTAGCTTTTTCCTGCCCTCCTGTCTCTCACTCTCATTCTCCCTTAAAGGAAGCCATAGAAACTGGAATCCTTCTTGCCTGAGGCGGACCATATAAACCAGAACCTTTTCCCCAAAACCAGCCTGAAAGCCTAAAAAATTTACTGTAATCTTCTCATTCCCTTCCCTTTCTCTTTCTTGCTAACCGCAGGCCATAAAGAAATTAAGACCCTCATTCTAGGGGGGTCCTACCCCATACCTGGGAGGAAGGAATGTCATATAGAAAGGCCAAGAAGAAATCTGGACAGGCCTTGCTGGGTTTCCCCATTCAGCCTATTAGCACTGGATCATACCCCTTTAGTCCAATCATATTTCTACACAGCTTTCCATACTTCATTGAACCTAAGCATAAAAATGGGCCAAGAGCGGGTGGCTCATACCTATAACCCCAGCATTTTGGGAGGCCGAAGTGGAACATCACTTGAGTCCAGAAGTTATAGGTTACAGTGAGCTATGATCAGGACATTGCACTCCACCCTGAGCTACAGAGTGAGACCCTAAATCTAAAATAAAAATTCTAGTAAAGGAATAGTTGCCCCTATATCTTTGGGTCTTCATTCTGAAGGCTCCTGTGTCGCATAAAACTATGATCAAATAAATTTGTTATGCTTTTCTCTTGTTAATTTGCTTTTGTTGGAGAGGTGTCAGCTGTTACTCTTATGATAGGAAGGAAAGGAATCACCCCTTTTTGCTCCCTACTGTACCAAGAACCTAAAAATAAGATTTTATAAAACTTTGAATCAGATTCTTCTAAAACCAACCTTATTTATTTTACCACCCCAAGACAGAATTA